TATCTACACGCCAACCCCACGAAGGTACGAATTTTCCTAAACTTAGATTCTCACCCTCGAAGTTTGCGGCTTACTAGAAAATCGCCTATACACGCCTTTATTGTGCGTGGTGGGATGGGACCCTGGTGCGACGCCTACGACAAGACGGGTAATCACGTAAAAGCCCCATTTCAAAGTTCATGGTGCACCGGAAAATCGCCTATATACGCCTTTATTGCACGTGGTGGGATGGGACCCCAATGCGGCGCCTACGGCGAAACAGGGTTATTCATAAGTACCCTTGAGCAAAGGGAAAGCAAACTGTTTTTTTAAACTGGTACTATCAAAGACCCCATACTCGCCTTTATTGGGTGTGGTGGGAGTGAAGTTCACGCCCGCGGTGTCCTTGTTCGAGGACACCTACCATACACGCCTTTATTGCGCGTGGTGGGAAGGCTCAGTCTCTCGTAGTTTTCCCCTAAATGGGGGATACGTTGGGAGGCTGCCGAAATTTCAGATGAACATAAGATCGTACCTGGATTTGATTGAACTCAAAAGACAACGAGGACTTGTGATCTCGGACTTGAACCAAATGGACCTAAATGAACTTAATCTCAAATGAATTTGAAAAATATAACACTTGAATTTGATTGAAGTCAAAGTATCGCTGGGGACTTGACTTGAACAATTTGAGCAAGGACTTGAGCTTGCAAGTTGAACACTTGGACTTGATTTTGACCAAAATGGCATTAACTTGAACTTGGACTTAAATTCAAAAGAAATAAATACGGAGAACTTTGAACTACACTTGAACTCAATTTGAAAATAAAATGAATTAAACAAGACCACTTGAACTTGTACTATGGACTCGAACATTAACAACTTGAATAATTTAAACTCAAGCGAGTACTTGAGTTGGACTATAGGGGACATAGAATTGAGCTTGCACATTGAGCTTATGAACTTGATTTGAACTGGACTTGAAAGGACTCAGACTTGAGTCTGATTTGAACATCATTGCCCTCTCACATTCGATACCAATCAAACTACAACACCTTTTACATATGTATTCAGTGAAGCATACAGCGAATACAAATGCCCGTTAGTATCAACAATCATCCAATTGAAGATAAATACATATATCCCTTGCAATTGAAAGGTAGTTGATTAGCACATCAAGTGCAAATACCTATGAATATGAAATGACCACATCAAAGCATAAATCCCTTTACAAATAAATGTGGGGTACATACGAGTATGCATGAATGACAGTGATATGCATCTAAATGAATATCAAGACAAGGATGATTGATGCATGTATCAATCATACAAACAAGAGTATTGCCCTTTTATTGCCTTGAAAGACAACAAGGAACCTATCTTCAAATGTGGATTTGTAAGATAATGTGCAATACTCCTACAACCACCCACGGAGAACAAATATGCAAGTCCCTGTATGCAAAAGGGGAGTAATTGAAGAAAAAATGTCCCTACAAATAAATACAATCGCCAAACCACCTGAGATTGGCGAAAGGTGGATATGATGTAGGAACACTGGCTCTTCTACGAATATCTCCAAGAGGTCATGGCGGATACAGCTGTCCCCCGCAAATGTACACGAGCTGCTTGTGAATAACAACAGTGGGTATATCGTAAGCATAGCGAACCAATGTGGACACAAGTACAAGTATCACCTACAACAGCGGTGATTGAGATTTGTGAGTACGTCGGGTATGAAGATAACTCGATGTACGAAAAAGGATACCTCTGGGTAGAATAGAAGAGATGTTTGAGCAAATTTGAACTAAACTTCCTGGTGTTCCAAAACCTCTTTTTGATTCTATACTTAAGAAGAAAACAGTTTCAACATCCACAACCATCGGAAATGACAAATCTTTGAAAGAGACCTCCCAGTGAATGAGAAAAGGGAGTCTGTATCAAAATAATGAAATATCTTGTGAGATTCAGGTGATAATGCTACGATTTACTTATATCCAAAAGCAAGAGATTCGTTAGTGCAATGCAATCTACCTATACAACTCATGCAAGAATTGCAAGACGGTCTACCTGTATAAAGAAACGAACAATTCAATTCAGATGTTGCTACACCACGCCACCGGATCTATAACCTTCGTACAAGCAGATAGAAGGCGGCAACAAAATTTGAAATAAATACCCCTCGTATATGCATAATAATTTGTATACACATAGGTACATAAAAATAGGAGGGGTATATAATTACCAAACCTGCATGGTCCCCGGCGAGCGTGTTGTAGGAACACACGTGATGTCTAGGGATGTTGCGCGGGTCAATAAATTTGAACCCGATCCTCCTAAGAGGATAAATAGGAGTCGAGAAAATTCAGCAAATAATTATAAAATGCCCCCAAACACCCGCATGGGCCCCGACGAGCATATATAAGTATACACGTGACGTCTAGGGATATTGCGCGGGTAAATAAGTGAATTCAAGTTTGAACTCGATCCTTCTACGCAGATCAATAGGAGTCGACAGGATTCGAACCTTCAAAACAAATACACGGTTGTGGCGATCGGTGTATTTGTTTTAATACATTCATATTAAGCCTTCAAGACCTATAATCAATAGAATTTACTAATAAAGACATAAAGCCTACAAAACCCGATCCTCCTAAGCAGGTAAATAGGAGTAGACAGAGTTCGAATCATCAGATAAATATGCGGTCACGAAGTTGACCGGAATATTTATTTTATACATTTATTTTAGGCAATCAAGGCCTTTAACAAATGAGAATTCACTAACAAAGACATGAAGCCCGAGAAACCTGATCCTCTGTCGACAGCTCGATAGAGTTGACAAGGCTCATTTATAAAATACAAATATTTTCAAATGATAATGGCCCCATATTCACCACCTCGATGATGGCCGCGTTGATAGAAAATCTCAACCGGTGGGGTTAATTCCAATATTTCAAAATGTCATATCAAAACCCTAAAAATTCAAAATCCCAAAGATTATCCAAATCTAAAAAAAATATTTAAAATTGAAATAATCTATCAAACCATTTAAAGCAAAATTCATCCATCCTCCGTAATAGTTTGCCGAGGCAGACAAATTAAAATTTACTTCAGCTCACATAGAGCTAATGCCTAGTCGAAAATATTACTAGGATCCATTCTCAAACAATCTCCTGCCAATAAGGACGTGGTACGTGCCCTCTAACCGGTGGTTTTGCCACCAAATTGCACCGCAAGATAAACGGTTATGACCTAGGGCCCTCTGAACCTAGTGGTTTTGACGCCAAATGGCACCACGAAATACCGATTATGGCCAGAGCCAATACGCACCTTAATGATATCAAATTCTTGAGATATGAATCAATAGAATATGATCGATAGGGAATAAATCCCTCTTTTAGCTAAGGTGAATTCAAATTTATCCCCTTAGACAAACACTCACCCCAGGTCTACGAGGTCTCCTTGGACGAAGCAACCCATGGCTGCCAACAAGGATTCTTCTATCAGGTTGGGTCGACTACCTCCTCTGACTAAGTAGACCAGGGATCATGATGGCCCGGGACAACAAAACCATGGGATCTTGATCGGGTCCATCATCCATTCCCCCACCATCCGCTTTAAGTGCAAGATGGTGAAATTTTTAATTTTAAATATCCCAATCAATATCTTCATATTCCAAATTCAAATTCATGCTTCTACTATATGCTAGATAACATGTATTCTCTACATATCTGATTGACGACTAGCCTTAATCGAAAGTTTTCTCTTGTGACCAGGAGGGGTAATTAACAATAGGGGCTTGCGCCTATAGGAAACCAAAACTCATATAATAAAGTCCTTGCAAAATGAAAGCAAAATCTCTGGGTAGTGTCTTATCTACAAACACATCTGTCTTCCAAAATTTATCCCGTAATTTATTCCGTTAAAACTCCCCCGAAGAAAAAAGCAATCAGCGGGTGGAGACCGGTTCCGAATTTTCGGAGCCCACTATTAATTAGATAAATTATTGTTTAGCCGGCCTGGTATGGTTTCATCAAATTTGGTTAGGCAAATTTTAAGATTGATCATTTAGTTTACAATATTCATATGAACAGAATATTCATATGAGGAGTCATTTGCTATTTAAAGAAGAATTTCCATGAGGTTCTTTTTTGCTAGAACCAGATTACCTGATGGTACTTGCGTTTCACTGGGGCTTTACACAGGACTACGCATGATTTGATCTTCTGCGGATTATTCCTCTTGTTATATTCCCAATTTGTTTGTTTTAGTTTAACTGCTATTGGCAGTATCTGCTACACTTCCGTTATAGAAGAATGAACTAGCGGCTCTGTTGCTTTCTGAGAGAAGTTTTGGAAAAGGCTTTACTTGATTGATTTTAAGGCAAAAACCGAGGATTGAATTTTGGATATAGTTTGAACTTTAGTAGAGCTGATTTTATGCTACTCACATCTATTTACGTAGGGATAAAAAATTTGTAAATAGATATCGAGTATATAAGGAATAACATTTGGCTTAGATAAATTTCTCTTTCTCATTTTAATCTTGTGATTGTAAATTAGATGTGGTTTTTTTTTAGTATTGTACAAGTGATTTTACCTAATTCTAGGGGAGTCTTCCTCTTATACCTAAGTGAGATATGACTTTTTCTTACTTTAATATTTTTATTTCTTGATCTATTTCATTTGTATTACTTGTAAGTTGTAACTTACCTTTTTAATATTCTTGATTTTGATAAAAAAGTGGCACGTTAGAAATTTAATTTATGGAAATAAATTCAATATGCTCTCTGATTTAATATCCAGCTATTGCTTAAATTTTCATATTATTTTTATTTTTATTATATTTTAATTTAAAATTTATGTACTGTTTGTTTATATTAAAAAAATTAAATCCTTGGCTTGATAGATTATTTGTGATGTCTAAATCTTTAGTTTTTTTTTTTTGCATTGAAACATAGGATGCATCACATTAGCTGCATTAGAAAAATCCAATCCTTGAGCCGTCCTGTATCATTTTTGCAGTCTGACAAACGTAAGGAGGTCTTGTTGGCTAAGTTAGCAGTCGAGCAACAACGTAATCAAGAACTATCTAAGATTGTGAAAAATTTGCATCCCGGGCAAAAATCAGCTTGCATGGCAAGAACGCATTCATGCGTGAGAAGAGTACGCTTCCTCTTTTTTATCTGCTTTGGTCTCTTTATGCTCTTTCTTTTTTCAGCAAATGACTTTTTTTTTTCTGACCGACTTCTTCTCAGAGAAGCAAAGACAAGCTGAGCATTTCTAAGCATTTAATGGAGGAGGCTGAGAAGCATATTGATGAATTCCTTTCTAATATTGAAGATGCAGATATATCATCCTTTGACGGTGATCGAAGTGATACAAGCTCAACAATTGGGGGAAATTCAAAGTGTAGGGATCCTGTAACATATAATACCATAGAAGAAATACATGAGAATCTAGTGAGCCCTGCTGCTTCTCCTGTTGATGACTCTGAAGGGATTCTACTCCCCTGGTTGCACTTGGAAACTAGTAACGAAGGTTCTTCGTCTCCTTGCAAAACAACTCCAGCTTAACAATGAATACTGTGAGTATGTTAGTTTGCACATTATCCGGAATTAACCATCTTCTTGTTTATATTATTTAAATAATTAGTTGCTTTGAGTTGATTCCATATTCTAATAGGACTGTTGGGTTATCCACAATGCACAGAAATATAGGTACTATTGTGTAGGATATCAGCTGCTTTAAAATTATAATCGAGGCAATTCTATGTGAATTAAAATGTTTGTTAGTAAAGAAGTCATTTTAAATGAGGTTAAGTGTGCTTAAAATGAGATTATTAAAATTGACATGATGAAATTAGAAAGGGTAGACTGAGTAATTATTTTGAAAGATTGCATTCAAGATAAGGTTTTGTAAAATCAAATTTAGTTGGTTGAGCATGTATAATAAATGATAGAAGATTCATCAATTAGGTCAGTCGATTCAATCAATGTAAAAGAATTCAAAAAATAGTTAGACTAAGGATAATATAGGTAATTTTTTCAAAAAAATTGTTTACACAAATTAAATCTAACATCTCGTGTAACTCAAGTAGAATGAACGAAGAGTTTATAAAGCTGACCATAAATAGCTATGATAAAGTTAATGATGATGATGTAATAACTATGATTTGAATTGGCGAGGCTGAAATAGCATGCTTTATTACAAACATAATTTCCTTGTGGCTCATATTTTGTTTCTTTTATATTTTTAATTTTATTCCTATTTTTCAGGTATGTTTTTGAGTCGATAACATTATATATCAAACGTATGTTATATAAGAAAAACTCATAAAAGGCGGAGAAATATTATATTTTTTGCTAAGAGATATTGCTAGAAAAATTACAAGAAATTTGATTGCAATTAGTAACAAAGCTTTATCACCTCAAATTAGTACAATATGAAATTAGAAAGCACATGAAATTTATTTATTAAAATATGACTGTAACTAGAGACCATGTAAACACAAAAAACTCTTTGAGTTCATTACACAATGTAGATGCAGTCATGACAGAACAAAAGCATTGACAAAAATGTACAATTAGTATAAAATGATAAAGGAAAATCAATATTATCCATTTGAATTAAATAAAACTCAGCAGTGACTTTCTAGCTGTTTAATGTTGAAAGGTTCAAGTTCAAACCTGTAAATCAGTCATTCCTATAAATGTTAACATAAAAAAAAAAATCATTATAATATTCTATAAGATAATAAGGTCAATGAGGATAACAAGAGTATAACCCATACCTGTTAATGGCGAAAGGCGCACCATGGCGCAAAGGTCCATTTGGAGCCATGGCGCATAGCGCACGGCGCGGCACGCGCTATTTTGAACATGACGCAAGCTATATAAAAATTATAAAATAATAAGCATGAATATGAAATATTATTAAAAATGAAAGACAATCTATCATAATAATAAAATACAACTATAACATATATAAGTTCGATTAAGTAACATTCAAATATCTTATAATTCAAATACTACAATCTTTTTTTTAAAAGATCAAATAAAAATTTTATCTACTCTTCTTGAGAATCATCATCATCAGCAAATGTTAAAAAAGCTTCATTATCTTCTTCAACATTGTCTCCTACTTCATAATCCTCTTCATCACCCTCGATACCACTACTTCATAATCCTATAAGAACGGAATCTGACTTTTTATGATCACCTAAAACCAAACAAATTTAGATAAAAGAAACATAATATTGTCCAAGAAACATAATATGGGGGCTGCCGGGGGTCCAAGGGGGCGCTGCCCCCTGACGGGGTTCGACCTAGTTATACTGAGCTGTACCGAGTGGTACAAAGCATGTAACTAGCGGTACCGAGCATGTACCGAGCGGTACAAAGCATGTAACTAGCGGTACCGAGCATGTACCGAGCATTTACATAGCGGTACCGAGCGGTATCATGCATGTACTTAGCAATACCGAGCGTGTACCTAGTTGTACCGAGCTATACCGAGTTGTACAAAGCATGTACCGAGCGGTACCGAGCATGTACCGAGCGTGTACCTAGTTGTGCCGAGCTGTACCGAGCGTCTACCTAGTTGTACCGAGCTGTACCGAGCGGTACAGAGCATGTAACTAGCGGTACCGAGCGGTATAAAAAAAATTCATAAGTATACCAAAATTTAAAAATAATTTGGCGCGCTATTTTGCGCCTTGCGCAATGCGCCATGGCTCACATGTGGCGCAAATAGCGCGCGCTATTTTAAACACATGCGCCTCGCCATAAACATGGCGCCGTAGATGCGCCGCGCAGCGCCGTGCGCCATGGCGCACGCTTTTTTGCGCCATTGACAGCTATGGTATAACCTATGATGCATCGACACTTCTCCTGAAAGAAGCGTGCAGTATCCGACACGTATCCGACACTACACGCGTCCGACACTCCTCCGACACGTGTCGGACACGCCGAAAATGTGTCCGATTAAAAAAAATATTAAAAACAAATTGGACACGCGTGTCCGACACATATCTTAAATTTTTATGAATTTTTTTTTAAATATAATTTCTTGTATGTAAAATTTTTACTTATTTAAAATATAAAACGAAATTTCTTATTTCCTATTCCCAACATCAAATCAATCGCCCGCACTTAATACCCCTTTTATTGAATATTCTCATTTTCATTTCTCTTTAGCAATGAATGTATTTTCATCTTTTCTTTGGATGACGGATAAACAACATCGACGCCTGACTCTCAACATCCTAATATTAATTATTTTAAGCACAAATTCTAGTTAAATGACTTATTTTTTCTAAATTATTTTTAAAATTATACTTATTTAATATTTATAGACTATTTTTAAAATTCGAGCTTTTATCGAGCTTTTTATCGAACTTAATGTTGAGCTTGTTCACGAACTTCAAATGATGTTGTTCGTGAACATAAATGAACCGAACACATTAATGTTCAATCTTGTTTATTTAAGGATTGAGTATTTAAAATATTGTTTTGTTTAGTTAGTTAAAGGATCAAAATGAACTTTAATCGAACCGAGCATTGAGTAGCTCGTCGAACGCTTGGTTCGCTTGCAGCCCTACCTATTAATTATTTGATTACTTGGACATCAGCGTAGAAGGAAACAAAAATATAACAAAACACAAGAAATAACATAGAATGATGAGTCCCAAAATAAGTTTAGTTCTGTACTCATTATTGAACTTAGTATAGTTCTGCTGTTAAATAAAGCAGAAAATTGACAAGTTACATAATAGGTGAAAGACAAATTGATAATTATATTTCAAACTGCATTGTAAATTATATGATTATTGCCTTCAGAGTTCTACCGCACTATACATAATGTTCATTTATTTTCGCAATGAGCTCATGTGCTAAAAGATTTGTCCTCAGATAAAAGTAATGAATTCATTGATGCTTATCCAATGATAACTGATATCATAGTAGGAATCAAAATTAAGCATCAGGACAATAACGTCTAGTCGAGTACAGTGGCACATAGGTAAAATATCTATGAAATTAGACAAATAACAATAAACCAAGTATAATATTTGTAAAAAAGATCTATGAGATCAGCATGATAGCAATCAAGCATTGGCATTTGCGAAATAAAGCAGATAAGCCTAAATCAAGAAGAATCTGTGAACTGAAATCGTAAGAAATAGTCCAGTAACTCTAAAATTGAAATTTATGCAAGTCGCTCTTAGTTTTGGAGATTCAACTCAAACCTAAACAAGCTGGTTTTTTCTGTAATTGAAGTGCTAAGCTGCATTTTCATGAAAATATTTACGTATAAATGAATGGCTTTAGATTGAATGAGAAAATTCAGATAACTATATCAGATACAATGTCTCTTTGTTTCACCGTGCAAGTGTTAATAGCATTCAGTGAGTAAAACTTCGCCTTCCCGCATGAAAAAAAAAACAATTTGCTCTATCATACATACTTAGAGCTTTGTTTAATAAAGTCTGCAACTTTATATTCAAGGAATCAAGCTTCATATCAGTTGAAAGCGAGGATTTTACAAGAGAGCAGTTGAATGACAACCCTCATGAGGATAGAAGCTACTTTGCAGCTTCTAGAGACATTAGAGGGATTACATGTGGGAAGTTCGAGTCAGCTTCAGAACAATCTACTGGTAGTCCATGCAATTCATCATTCTTCATGGATGAACTAAATTATCAATCATTTAACGAAGACATTGTCATTGAAAGGTATTTGCACAGGCAGAGAATAGAGTCGGGTAGCTTATTGGTCTGTGGAAGATCTGTGTTATAGATCTTATTTGGCCTTTTTTATGGGCTCTCTTTGTACCAGAGGTAAAATTATCATTTATTTGTACTTCATATTACATAATTTATGAAATCTAAAAGCATATATTCATTGGAAGCATATAAAGTAAACATTTAGATGGCACTATGAGTTTATGTTGCATTTTTTTTCTTATATTCATTTTGGATTTGGCTTATTGCAATTACTCTCATATAGGGCATTTTTCATTTAACATTGTTTTGTTAGTTGAGACATTGGTGGTGTTTTTAAGATCTTAGCTTGTGTGGTGTGTTAATTCTTTCAACACTATTGTTCACTTGAATAACTATTATAGGTTGAGTTTGTTGATCAGAGCTTGTGATAATTTGGTGATATAGGTTTCATTTGAGATAGCTTTTGATCATTGCTCGTATGTGAGGAATAATTCCTTGTTAGCAAGCAATGATTAAAGTTGGTGTTATGAAAATGGCTATATAATATAATTACCCGAACAATGCGTAGATCAAAATCAATATAGCTAGTTAAATAGTGGGTGAATTAGATTTGTAATTAGTTTATAGTTAGAAACTTTGTGCTAGTTGTATATTATGGTCAAGTATAATAAGTGAGTTATAGTGAGATCCCTTATTAAGCTATTGAGTACTTTGATGAGTTGTTAAGGTCTTTAGATTAATATCCTTGATTGTTAGGCGGCATCGTAAGTCCCTCGAGCAAGTTTAGTAGTTCAATATTGAGGTTCGAATTAGAGTTATCTCTTAGTTGACTTGATATAATTTGATTTCGAGCTACTATAAGTTTGTCAAGTTTCAAATTATGTACAACTCAAACATGTTCGCAATGATTTATTGAACTTGATTCATGTTCTCATAATAACATGATTGATCCAACATAAATAATCATGGTTGAACCTCTAACATTCAACAATTATCAATACATGGAATAAAACTACCAAGCTTATTCTCATAAACAATAATTTCATATTTCAATAAAAAAATATAGAACGAAATTCTATTAAAAAAATTAAATAGATAGCATTGAAAGAAATTGACCATTAATGTTAAATTGTCAAAATAAAATGATTGCATAATTTTCTATTAATAATATAGATAGACTTGTTCTCAAATAACATAAACCACCTTATTACAATTTCAATTACAATTATTACTCATCTCTTAAGAATTTTAAGAGGAATTTCCCTATAAATTTTACAATGTCATATCTCCCATCATCATTGCCTATTCAAACAAACAACCCAAAAGCCCCATATTCAACGCCGGAATCACCGCCGCCTCTCATCCACAGCCTCCGGCGGCGAAACCAATCCTCCCCTCCCCCACATCATACACAATATCAAACGTTTTCTGCTGCCAATTCCCAATAATCGTCGCCCCTCTAGCCGACGCAAACGCCAAACACGTCACCCCGCTATCCACATCAATCATCACATTGCTCCTCGGCAGCCTCACCACCGCTCCGCCGCCAAACACAAACGCTACTTCCGGCGTCGGCACCTCAGCTGCACTCCCTTTATAACACGTATCCAATATCGAATACGCCGGAGCCCGAGCCACCTTCGCCCCGATCGCCCTCACCACCGCTGCACTCACCGCACCATAGACCTCCTCCGGCAGCCTCGTGATCACCGTCCCTGAATCAATGATCGACGGTGATTCTTCGGATACCGCGATGCTCTGCCTCGCCACTGCGATACTCGACAGTTTCAAAGAATAGAGACTCTCGTCAGCCGAACTCTTTGCCATGGGTGTGAAGACGAATTTGCCAGGATTGTAGCTGCCGAATGAGAGGTAGCCGGTGGCGGACGAGGAAGAAAGGCAGTATGAGAAGGAGCTACCGAATTTGGGGCTTAGTTGAGAGAAGAGAGAAATGCTGTTCTTGGCGAGGCCAATGATGCCGGCCGACTCTCCATACAGACCTTCGTTGTCTTGGCCGCATCCGAAGATGAAATTGGGGATGGCTGCGACGCTACGGGAGAGCGAGAGGGTGTCTTGTGATAGGTAGCCGATGGAGAAGGAGGCGTCCCCGTAGCTGGCTTCGTAGATGCAGGTGCCGGAACTATCGCAGCCGGAGGGGTTGAGGGTGGCGGAGGAGAGGGTGGAGCAGTAAGAGGCGGAGCACGGGATGGTGCGGTAGGTGGATGAGGCGGCCGGGTTGAAGATGGGGTCGAGTTGGCGGTGACAGTAGCGCTTGCAGGGGAGACATTGGAGCCAAGAAAGGGAGCTTCCGGTGTCGGTGACAACCGTGTAAGTGGTTGGTGGGGTGCCGACGTTGATGCGGGTGACGTAATTGCCGACGCCCAGGGCTGTGCCCTTGAAGAGAGGGACGGAGGCGGCGGAGGTGGTGACGCGGTGGAGGAGAGAGTTGACGCGGGTGGAATCGTGGTGGAGGATGTCGGAGAAGGGAAGGTCGCTGGAGAGGGGAGCCGGGGAGCAGGGGCTATGAGGATGGTGAAGGGGGAGGCGGATGCCAGAGGAGTTGTGCTGCAGCTGCAGGCTGATGATGCCTGGATGGGGGAGAAACGTAAATTAGGAAAATTGGAAAAAAAAAAACAGTATTTTTTAATTTTAATTTTTAAATTTTTATAGATTTAAATATTTTATCTTTTATTTCCTGTAATAAATTATATTAGACTGTTTATACAAGTTTTTCCAAAAAATCTCTCGAAAGACAAATAAATAAAATACATTTATTTTTATAAAACATAATATAGGAAATTAATATGTCATCAAAAATCTCTTTAATCAGACATGAATCTTCAAATATATTTAAATTTAAACTCCTAAAATAAATTTGGGACCATCTAAACTTTAATTTCAATAAACTTCTAGTCTAATTTAATATTTTGACGAGACGCACTAAATAAACTAAAATCGGTTCATTTAGAGCCCAAATCAAGAGCTTAAAGCATATTTGAAAGCTTCAATATACTAATTGGATGATCAAATAATATCCCAATATAATATGCTTATAGTAGAATCGTGTGGCTCGACGAGACAAATCCAATGAGCCCAAAATCGCTTGATTTAGGCACCATTTAGACACATAAATGTTCAAGAAACGCTTTTATGATTGGGAAATCAATATGAGTCGATGGAGCACTCAAAATTTGCTCTACATCATCACTATATTTATGGGGCATGCCACTCTAAAAAACCTATAAATAGACAACCCCTCCCTACATGAAGAGGAAGCTTGGACTTGAGGGTTGGAACTTGAGGTTTTGGACCTAGGGCTAGAGGTTCGAGAGAGCTTTAGGACTTAAATAATTTCAGAGCTACACCCGAGCATCACAGCTGGCAAACCCAGTCCTTCTGGTCATCACTGCTAAAATTTCACTTTATGGTTCACCATTAGACATCCACCCAATTTTCACCATCAAACCTCCGTTTGGCCATTGCCATAAGACCTCTATCTAGCGTCCACCACTGGGTCTCCTCACGAATGCTGCCATCCAACTTTTGCTCGACCACCACCATCTGATTTCCACTTAGCCACCGTTATTACCAGACCTTTGTTCAACCTCCACCAATGAACTTTTGTAGACCAACCATTACTGATCATCGTCATTGGACATCTGTTACACCGCTGATAATGATTCTTAAAACCATTGTCACTCGACTACTACCTTTCTTACCTCAGTCTAGTAACAACTCAAAAAAATGCTTAGAATGAATTTATTTGAAAAATCAAAATTTTCTGAACTATAGTGCTTGACACTATGCCTTTGGGTGCAATGGCATCGGGGTGCTCAAATTTAGCATATCAGGGCTAATGCTCTTTGCCCTATAGTAACGCTATAATCACAGCAGTGACGCTGTGTTAGGCAAGCATAATAGCATTGAGCACTAAAACGAGTTTATATATATATATATATATATATACTTGCCATCATCCCACTGTCCATTCTCTTTTTGTTGGCTAGGCCTGAAAAGAAATAAAGGAGAAGAAGAAGAAGAGAAAGGAGAGAGGAGGAGGAGAGAGAGAGAGAGCTCTTCAAATCATCAATGTTTGCCACTCCTATTATAAAAGTTACGCTAACAGTAGTAAATAATCTTTACTTTGCTTTTGTTTTCAATGATTCTAAATTTGATAGGCTTTCTGTCTCCTAAAAGTGATAGAAAGCTTATATTTCTAATTTTTTTAAAACTTTTATCTCATAACTTTTGATATGTGATAGAGATCGTTATTATGAGCATTTTGACTGAAATATTATTAAATTTTATTGAACAAATTGAGAGTTATGATTTTGTGAAGTTAATGCATATTTTATAGATTTTCATGCATTCATAAATTATTGCATTTCATATATGAAAATGATACTACTGATATGTGATGATGTGGTAATTGCATGTAGGCAAGGAAGGCTCGCTATCATTACTATAAATAATAAGGGTTGGATCTTAAAATATTAATACACTTTATATGAGGGTGGGCCGACGGGCTTTTCTTTAATGATGGTTTGTAGTGTTTTCTCAGTTCTAGCGTGTAATTTATGACTTATTATGCCAAAGGGCAGAGAGTGACGACTCTTTAAGATTATTGAAAGCCACCTATAATGATAATAATGTTGACTAATGATATAACGATTTAATGATAAGATTGATCAATGAGAGATAAAATACCGCATTAAAGCTAAAAGTCCTGTCTTGCTAAGTCATAAGTTGATGCATATATACATTGATAATATGGTTACAATATATGGCATTGGGATACATGTACTGATAAAATGGATAAGATTGATGATGACTAATTTATATGATATGGCAGAGGAGAAAGATGATAGAAGATAAATAAGATTAACTACTACTGACTAATAATTAATAATAATAATTATACTTATTGAATGATATCAATAACATGAATGATAAGTAGCAAGACTGGTATGACAATATTACGCCACTAAGATAATATAATATGATGCATGCTGTGTAACTGATGATAAATGACTATTTATCTAATATGATATGACTGGTTTATATTTGCATTGATTTCAGCTTCAAATATTGGCGCTTGTTGGGCTTTTATGCTTATTGTATAATTTTTATATATTTTCATGTAATGATAAGAAAACTTGAGGATGTTTTGAGTTGCTAACACCTTAGCAGTTTATTTATTTATCTATTTATTTTTCATTTTGCAGCCATGTATTCATTAAGACAAGATAGTTCATTGAACAGTATTATTATTGTATATATATTATTTTAGGCTTGTATTAAAATATAAATATTGATGAATATAAATTTAATTTTAAATAATAAACATATACAAATCTTCCAATTTTAAATTATGGGGTATGACAAGTTATCCGTCAACTAAGGTCCTCAAACCATTGTCACTAGACTATGGGCCTCATACGACTATCACCTGACTACGGTCCCTCTAACCTTACTCACCAAACTATGATCCATTTGACCTCGGTTACCCACTAACTATTGTCTTTTTGACCTCCATCATTTGCTGACTATAGTCTCTCCTACCTATGTCGTTTGTTTACTATAGTCCTCACACCATCATCGCCCGACGACTATGGTCTTCAGTCCATGTCACCCAGTATTGCCCCTCCAATCTTAGTCACCTAAATACGAACCCACATACCTCCGCCCCCCACCAACTATTGTTCTCGAGCCATCATCGTCTGATTATGATCCTCAAACCACTGTTGCCCACCTACTAAGGCCCTTGGACCACCACGACTACTGACTATGGGCATAGACCACCATCATCCGTCAATTGCGGTTCTCGGTCCATTATCACTTACTCCAGTCATGATGACCTCCATCACTAGACTATGGTTTCTCCGATCACCATCTCCTAATTACATTTCCTTCAACCACCGTCTCCTAATTATGGTTCCTCTAAGCTCAGTTGCCTACAATCCCTTTAACCACCATCCCTGACCGTGGTTCTACTGACCAAACAAACATGCCAACGATCTCTTCAGAACAATTCTCATGCCAATGGATTCTTCCAACTCTAACCATATAATATGCTCTATATGACATATATTTACTACATTGTGTCAACAACTTGCCCCAAGGATGGACATCATTTGTAATTAATAATAAATATTAGTAGAATCATTTCAATTGAGTCGAAACCTGTAGTTTTACCATTTTCTAGATTTTTCACGTAAAAAATCAAGTGTCACATATTACTCTTGCACCTCCTCTTTTATTTGTGCATGTATTTGAACTTTGTACAAAGCTATGATGTTAAACTTTATATATCTCTCTATGATCGCAAATATTTTGACACACAACAAAGATAATACTTAAAATTAGAAGTCATTAAAATAAAAACATTAAAAAAAAGTAATCATTATTTGCAAGTGTTGTTGCCTGCAATGATTTATCACATTATTATTAGTTTTTGGATTAAAATATAATCTAAGAAAATGTTGGAAATATATAAGAAATGGCACCCATAATTTTAAAATAAGCATTTAACTTCCCTTGTGGCTGAATATAATTTAACATATTAGTATATTAATTCCATGTTTACTAAATTCTAACAATTATATTATAGTTTCATAGCAAATTGGAACCTTAGAGAAACGAATTTTAATTTATGAAGTAGGTAAACTATATTGCTTATTGTAATTTATTAAAATAATTTGACATATTACAAATATTTATTGGACTTAAAAAATTGAAACATCAGAAAAAAGATAATTGTTTTTATTTATTAAATAATTTATTTTTTACACAAATCTATAAGAAGTTTTATATAAATAACTTATATAGTTATTGAAAAAAATCAAGCAGGAGTAAGAGAAATCGGAGCAAATTGATTAAAAAAATTATGTAAGAATATTTTAATGTTTTAGCTGAGATTAATAGAGTTTTAAGGATTATATCTAGCACTAATCTCAATGTAAAATTAAGAGCTTTAAATTCTATGTGACACAAAATATGTCATTATGAAACCTAAATTTTCAGGTAGTTGATTTTCAAGATCTAATAAAAGTTAGTAAAATTTCTCAGGACTTTGATATCCTCATATATATATTTAAGATTTTTTTTTTTTTAAAAAAATATTTTTTGTTCATTTTGTAGGAAAAATAAAATTAAAACATTTATTGGATGAGCTTAACCCACGATTCTTGTCTGCTTAAATATGTACTTCAATTATAACCAATAAATAAAATAAAATAAAAATCTCCCAATTATTCCTTGTATAGGACCACATAAAAAAGAAAATATACCTAATTCCTTAACTTTGATTAATTATGCCATTATTACTAACAACCTCATTTACTCTTTGATTTGGATGTGTTTCCCTTCAAAAGAGATGGATATTTGAACAGCAGCCATATGATAGGACAATAGATCCAAGCCCTAAAATATTTATGTTTCATTTGTGATAATTTATTATTGTTTTTTTAAACTATTTTCAGTACGAAAATTTTTTAAACTTACAATTTTTATATTAAAAAATTGTTTTAAAAACAATAAGAAAGATATGAACTACTTTATAGTAATCATAAGCTCAATAATTTCAAAAATTTTATTGAGAAAAATCATAAAATTTAATAAAGCAAATTAAAAAATAACAATTGAAATTTAAGAAAAGATTAAAGAAATCATAAAAATCTAGGCATCACTTGAACTAAATGCTAGTAATAATTTATAGGCCCGTTCTTTTTAAAATTTTCTCCCTCAAAATTTCCATCATTTTAACCTACAAGCCTACTCAATAATTAAATTAAGCCTTCGTTTGGAACAGTTTTTTTACTGCTTTAAGAACTAAAAAAAATTATACTAAAAAAATGCTTCATAAAGTAGTAAGAAAGCTCTCAAAAACCAAAACTCTAATATAAAAATTTCAAATATTCCTTAAAAATGAATAGAACAGGACAATTACAGAAGGAAAATTGGAGAACTCCCTTACCCTCAATCTGTGCAGAACAAGAGCTTGGAGGAACCTCCCTCAGTGGAGCGACAACTGAGAGAAGAAGAAAGAAGCAAAAACTCTGAAGCAATTTCATCTCTACAGCTCTGCTCATGCTTCCCATATGAGCCTCGCCTTAAATACAGACAGCGTTCACTTTAGAAGGGCCCGATCTGTCTTCACATTCACCTCATTACAAACAAACAATTATTGGTTGTCCACAAATTTAAATGGCAAAAACAATTTAAGCGGTGGAGATTAAACACACGATAGCTTTAGAAAGCTCACATGTTATAAAATAGAAAAGCTTCCCCCTCTTTTATAAAAATTATATCTAATATCTTGTAATTGGTCTAAAAGAAAGGCATTCAATATTAATAAATAAATATGAAAGTACTTTTATATAGTTTATAGAATAAATATCATATGAATTTGGAGTGTGTTAAAATTTTTAGCTTATTTTAATAAAAATTTAATTGTATTATTTTGATATAATATCTGTTTTCTTTTTAAATATATTGTAAAACTCTATATAGTGGGAAAGGGCCCTACCACAGCTTGCCCAGCTCATTGAGAGTGTATCTATTTGGATTTATTTCATAGTTTGGTTCTTTTGTACGGATATAATTCCTTGGTTAGGAATTCATTATAAAGATTAATGTTTGATTTGGGACGATTTTTTTACTGTTTTCTAAAGCAATTTTTTAGTATAAAAACTTTTAAAATTAAAAAAAATTGCATTAAAAATCTGCTTTAGAAAGCAGTAAGAAAGTCGTTTCAAACAAAGCCTAAAATTTGGATATATAAGAGATTTTGCATTATATATTTTTTATTTTTTTCTAAATAGAAGAGATTTAGTTCAATGCATTCTTTAAATTAAAAAATTGAGATTTTGTCCCCCTAAAAATTGGTTTTGTCCACCCTCAAAATTTATTTTTACGTACAAATGAGACAATTTTGAGAATTCTGCACACTTAGGGATGGTCAATCTCTCTTTATTTGGCAATCGGATATGGCTTGATCATTATGCAGGATAATATGCCGAATTGGGATATTTTTGACTTTATGAGTCAAGTCTTCTTCTTCTAATGCTTTGTTGACCTCATTTTTGTATGAGGTCACTTGGACCAATCCTGACCATAGATTAATTTCCAAATCAACTCAAACTCTAGGCCCTAGGATCCTTCTAGACTTCAAACCTTAGGTTCTATTCTAGACCTTAAGACCCTTCTAGGAGTCAGACTTTAGGATCTACCTAGATCATAAATCAATCCAGACATATGATCAATCAAATCTAAAATCCAACTCAAATCCAGAATTTGAAACCAAAATCCAAGGCCAAAGGTGCCATCCTAAAAGCCTTTTTCAGTGAATTTTCAAACACTTCGAAACCCAATCAAATGACCTCCGATTTAGAGTCTGTCAGTTGCATACTGATGGGACATGTCTCTGGAGGAAACCCACCAAATTTGAGCCCATTCTGAGGCTTCTAACCCCATAAACTAAATTAAAATCCAAAAGCTGTAAAACCTTCAAATATTTACAGCCCATGCCATTGGACCTGTCACATAGAAGTTTCTGACCTTAAAGCCTTCACCAAAGCCTCTAGTCACTTCTAGACCCTTAATCCTGATATGTTGAACAATAAACTGAATTTTTCTGGACTCATTTCAGCCCCTAGTGGCCATGAGCCCAAAATGACCAAAATACCCCTACGGGGCTCAAATAGTGATTTCAAACCAAACGACCTCCAAATTGAATGCAACCACCTCCAGCAAGTTTCAAATGTCAAACCAAACTTGTTGGACCCATTCCCCAACCCCTGGGTCAACTGGTTGACCAAGTCAACAGGTTTGACCAAGAGGCCCTTTAAGGGTCCAACAGATGTTTTGACCCAAATGGCCTCTTTGAGCCATGAAATCACTTCTATGAGTTTTTCAAATGTCATTTCAAACTTCCTGGCCTGATTCCAAACCTGGATCAACCATGTTTGACCAGATCAAACAAAATTGACCTAAATGCCCTTATGGCCCAAAGACCCATTTGATCAAATCCAATTCTTCAGACTCTGGAGCCACATCCAATTGACCCCAAATGACTTTTGAAATGATTGAACCTATTTCCGACCTGGACCCATTTGGTTGACCAAATCATAGTTTTGGGCTTAATGGCCATTAAAGGCCATTAAGCCATCTTAACCCAAATGACCTATAGAACTTGGAAATGACCTTAACCAACATCCCCATAACAGCTTCCTAAATTTTTCCATCTACCACTCAGCAGTAACATTTTCATTTGACCAGTCAACACATGGCACCTTCAAAAATCCCTCCATTTCATCAAAATTTTTAATCCTCAAATATTGAACCCATTCCAACTCACCTAACCAGCTTCAGCTAGCTTCACTGCCACATCAGCAAGCCAAGTGGCTTTGGACTGGTCAACAGTCAAACCAAGGTTAGGATTATATCAAGAATGGTCAAAACCCATTTTAAATTAATCCTATCACTCCTTAAACCATTCCAGCAGCCCTAATCAAGTTCTGGAACCTTCTCAAGGCTTTCCTTAGCCCTTGGATGGAGATCCAATGACTCCCATCAATCCCACATGGCCATAAAGGAGACAAAATGACCTTTACATGTCATTGTCCTTTGTCCTTTGATCACTCTGCTCCAACAACTCCCAATGACACATGAGCCATCTGGAGGTCCAACCATTTGATCCTAGCCGTCTACCAACCTGAGAAACGTTTGAATAGGGAGAAAATGCCCTATTAGCATTCATTCAATCCATAGCACTCTCTCACTACCTCGAGCTTGTCCAGCCGAAGATCTCAGCTCATTAGAGCCCTCCAACCATCTCCTAAACGCTTCCTCACCAAAATCCTCCCGGTCAAAGCCCTTCTCCGGCGAGATCCCAGCTAACCTAGCTCTAATCCGTTCAAGGAGCGTTCCTGTTCGATCCAGGCGATAACAGCTCGAGGAGTCTTCTACAAATTTAATCGTGAGCAGACTACAATTTTAGAGAACTAAAGATCTTCTGAATCCAGGTTGGATGAGGAAAACCTAATCCTAGATTAAAACACTTAGATTTAATTAATTTTTTGTAATGCTTGCTAAGCCGAAAAATAAAATATCCCCATTAATGCTCTTCATAAGGAAATTCTAGATTAAAAATTTCAAGTCAAATGGTCAAGTATTTTGAGAGAAAGACTCGTTTTACTTGATCAGGGCTCGGGTTTGGACGTGCATGACCGCACGTTTTCTGGGCCGTTGATCATACGATCAACGGCCCAGAGTAAGCCATCCGTTCGCCTTTTCTAGACCGTGTGTATCGTACATCAGCCGTTAATTCCTCCGTCCGGTGCGATCTCGACCCCCATTAAAATTCGCGATCGCCACCGCCGTTTGATCTCGCTTACCGAGATCAAAAGACGGATTTAATCTCCGCCGTCGATCGATGTCGGAAGGATCGAATGGCCGGTATATGCCGCTGAGCTGGTTAAGTGGAGGGCCTCGCTTGACTGCCGCCTTCCACGTGGCGTAATCACGCGCCGCCGCGTGTAAATTCAGAGTTAAAATTTTATTTTTAATTATATTTAAATGCAGAACTTTTAAAAATCATAGTAATAAAATATAACTCCAAAAAGCCCATATAATATATCAAAACTGTTTGGATTTTCAAAGCCTTTGATTTAAAATTAAAATTACTTTAAAATAGTTAAATTATATTTTTGGTAATTTTTAAATATTAACTATTTTGTTATTTTAATTATTATTTAATTAAAAATAATCCAAATATTCTAAATTTTAAGGGAAATTTATTTGAAAGTATTTTGAACTTCCAAGCATATTTCTAAAACCATTTGAGGAATTTTGTAATAATTTGAATTATTTACATTATCTTTAATGCTTAATTAGTATTTAATTAAATATGTTATCAAATTTCTTTTTAAAAAACTAAAAATTTATTTCAATCAATAAAAAAAGGGAGAAATCAGTGATCTCTCTTAGTCCATTAAAATTTATTTTAAAAATAGTCTTTTCACCATTTTATTTTAAAATCTATATTTACATAAAGGATATATATATATAATTATATATAAAATATATATATATATATATATATATAATATATATATATATAATATACTATAATATATTTCTTTTTGAAATATATTTTAAAACCTATATATATATATATTTAAATTTTGAACCTTTGTGAGATTAACCTTGAAATTTTGAACATAGTTGAGCTTGATTGAATAATATCATGGGGAGTGGTGATTAATCAATGAGCAATTACTTTGTTAATTGGTCATTGATTAATCTCTCAATTAAATGAGCTTTATCTTGTTATTTGCATGTCTAGGATACACAGCACTTGCACATAGTAGGCTCTTCTAGATTTTAGGATTTGATTGTTATTGACTATGTTTATTACATGCTTGAGTTCAAGGGTTAGCAAAAACATTGATTTGAACCCATCAAACCTAGTGTCATTAAGGACATATTTAGAAAACTTAGAAAATTTTCAATAATTAGGATACACATCCTTTTGACTCAAAATTTTGAACACTTGAATTTAGTGACATGTCCAACCCATAGAGAAAGTTTCACTGATTTTTGAAATCATTAAGACCCTTAATTAAATTTCCTAACTTTAAACCCTTAATTAAGCTATCAATCTTTCAGAAAATGTAATAAATCCAATTTAAATCCAAAAAAATGCAAAACAACCCTCCTAAACTGACCAGATATTTGAACCCTTAATATAATGAAAATTAAAATCCCCTTGATTTGACACATATAAACCTTAATTCAATTTTAATTGAAATTGAATATCTAATTAAAATAATAATTAATAAATAATTAAAATTCCCAAACTTCCAAACACTTTGGAATCTCTTCTCTAGGTCATCCCTGACCTTTGGAGCTGATTCAAGGAGTTGGGACCTCATTTGGAGCAAAATTGCAAAAGGGTCACTAATAATAAAGCAATTTTAAAAATTCATTAAATATCCCAAATTCAAACCTTCATAACTAATTCAATAAAAATCGAAATTGGACAAACTCACTTGCATTCAACTCATAATAATGCTTAATATTTATTAAAAATATTAAATTCCTAGAAATATGTAAAATTCAAAAAATCGATCTTTTTGGTC